AACTTTGAGGACTTTTTTGAGCTTTGGAGTGGTTTTCAGAGAAAACCAGTAGCGTTATCGTGTTTCTGGCGAAATTTTACACACGAGTCTGTACTTAAATTGCAAATCTCTCACGAATGCAAAAGCTCCATGTTGTCGCTCATCTGGCATAAGGGCGTATCTTGATTCCCACATGGGCCCCAGGAAGCATGAATTTATATGTAAAACAGGGCACACTTGGAAATTGAGGTACGTCCTTAGGTCAGAATGGACGAAAAAGAAGGACGATTTGTAATAGGGTCGTTATCATTATAATTTCTGCGGCTATCGAATTTGATAGACACAGGAATAGAAGAAGGGAAAATGGAGTGGTCTTATTGGCTGAAAAGTCGAAAGTAACCTTGTCCAGGACTTCTGTGATTCCAGCATTTTTTTGTCTAAAAATGTCAACATTCAATGTAAATAACTGGTTTTAGCTGGGCACTTCAGTGAGACCACGGCTCTAGAAGCTGGAGATGTCTATTTTTCATCCTTTTTTTGGTTCGATTCCGTTCGATTTCGAGATCGATTCGAAGTTAAGGCCGATTACGGCCCTGACTGGAGTGACGCCAATTTCTGCTTTTNAAAAAAACCAAGAAACGTAGACTCTTGGTATTCATTACACATAAACTAGCGAGCCCCAGAATGAGAAACAAATTTTAATCATTATTATTGACGGATTAGTAAACTTTTTACACGCTTTGGAAAATCTCAGAAGTTCGCGGTAGTCACTTTTCGGTAAGGAACTAGGGGACTCGGTTATTGTATCGAGGGGGGGGTCGAAACGATCGCAAAGGCGGTATACTACGTATACGCGCCAACAGGGCACACTTGGAAATTGAGGTACGTCCTTAGGTCAGAATGGACGAAAAAGAAGGACGATTAGTAATAGGGTCGTTATCATTATAATTTCTGCGGCTATCGAATTTGATAGACACAGGAATAGAAGAAGGGAAAATGGAGTGGTCTTATTGGCTGAAAAGTCGAAAGTAACGTTGTCCAGGACTTCTGTGATTCCAGCATTTTTTTGTCTAAAAATGTCAACATTCAATGTAAATAACTGGTTTTAGCTGGGCACTTCAGTGAGACCACGGCTCTAGAAGCTGGAGATGTCTATTTTTCATCCTTTTTTTGGTTCGATTCCGTTCGATTTCGAGATCGATTCGAAGTTAAGGCCGATTACGGCCCTGACTGGAGTGACGCCAATTTCTGCTTTTAACGACACTCATTTTGTACATTGTAAGTTAAGAAAATAATCATTGACTTTTCATGGAACTCTATTATTTCGCCTCAAAAAATGAAAGATGTTCAAAAATTAGGATATATACTTGCCACGTCTTCCTAAACCATACGTAACTCGCTTTGTATTTGCCCGTGTATATGAAGCACCCCCCTCTTTCTCGCGCGTGCAAAATAAATCTCCCGAAAAAATTCGCCCAACTCATATCCCTCTTTGCTATCATGTAGACATTTGAAACTTTCGACTGAACCTGCAATCATCAACGAATTATCTCAAACAGATATCGTAGCATAGTGGACGTCGAAACTTTGAAAAGTTGCGAGGAACCATCCAAAACAAACATCGGAATGTTTTCCAAAGGAGTGCTGCACAAAGCAGCTATTAGAAACAACTTCGAAACAACTGAGGATGTCGAGCTAGCTGTATGCTGTCTTTTCTCAGTCCTGTCAAAGAACTTTACACCCGCGGCCTGTAAAGACCTGTCACTGGGTATTGATTGTGCCTGAATTTGAAAGTTGATCACTTTGGAAAGTATACCCTAAGTAATGGCTCCAAATGGACCACTAGACAAGTGGTTTTTAACGAAGCAAGTTTTTAAGCAACGAATTAAGCGAATTTAAGCAATCTGATACATGTTTCTTAACCAGAATTTCACGCAAAACACGATTCACACAACGAAAATTACTGAAAACAACTCCTAACAAAGATATTAACGTTTTTATTTCACATTGGTGAAGAGGAATTTGAACTGCCCGCTCACAAGAAACTCGAAGCTCTACGTGAGTCAAATCGCGCACTACAACGATTTCAGCAAGCTTCTCAGTTGAGCAATGTTCATTTCCCACCATGTGTTGTTCAAACTATTAGCAATTTGCAACAGCTGAGCCAAAGCGTCAAGATTGAGGTTGCCAGATTTGTATATCACAGAGACTGTCATGATAACGTTTAGCGCGCGATGTGAATCACGTTGAGCATTGAGTTTTCATAAGCGAGTGGTTTGAATTCACGCATCAAGAATCATAAAATATCTTCGCTAAGGAGTTAATTTCGGTAATTTTTGTTGTGCGCATCGTGTCCTACGTGAAATTTTAGTTCGAAACATGTATCAGAATTCTGAAATTCGTACCTTGTCTAGTGGTCCATTATACACGCGACGGGTATTTCATTTATGGCTCAAGGCGTGATTATCAACTATCGATATTATCCCATTTGAAGCTATGGTAAAGAATCGATTGTTATGGTGGTCGTCGCGAACGCCCTGATAATCGATCTTTTTCATAGGTTTGAATGGCAATCAATCGATACATCGCAAAGCACGCCACGCCACTGCTCATTTTCGGTAGGAGTCTTTGGTACCCGAAAGTATCTGAGTGGCATTGGCGAGGCGTAAGTGATCTATTATCGATATTTCCCCCATTTGAAGCTATGGTAAAGAATCTATTATTAAGGTGTCCGTTGCGATACCATGTTGATCGATCCTTTCCTATGCGCTTAAATGGGCAGATCAATCGATCTATCGCAAAGTTCAATGAGTGGCTGCAGCCAGGCGAAGTTTCACGGTTCGAGGTGTGGTTTTCGCAAGCGTGTCAAGCATATCCTATAAATCCTTTTAGATTTGAAACAACAGACGGTGAAATGGCGAGGAGGTCGGAAGGACCTATTGGACGACCCTTGTAAATATAATAGGCGAGAGATAGAGTAAATTGTGCAGGCTCGTATGTCAGCTCCTCCGTTAAAGTTCATATTTGGAGATTGACTCAAGCCTCCAAGTAATGATGATTGATAAGTGACGTTTTCACCAATCTGCGAATGGAAAGTTCTGAGAGCTTTCCCAGTGTGTTCAACGCGACGCTATCAATCATAATTAAGCGAGGACGAGTGCAACTACCCACAGAAGTATGCTGGAGCCTTGAAAACACTTTCAGTCTCACTCGCGAACATTGTTCGAATAGCTAACGCGGAGCCGTAACAGTATTTAATGTTCAGGGCGATAGATATATTTTCTCACTGAAATATTTCCTCTCAAAATTCCTCTCTGGGATAACTACTATAAATCTGTGTCCATGAATCTGACGACATGTTTTATATGAATTAAGAGGAGCTTCCATCAAAAAGTGTCTGTAAAAGTATGTCAGTTGACTCTTATAAAGATTTGAAGAGGTGCCCAGTTGGTCTTTTTTTTTTAAAAAAAAAAAAAAACAAATTCTGAAATGATTTCCCTTTTTTTAACGAACCGGAATTCTTTTGTATATACAACCAGTTTGCTAAACACTATTCAATTAATCAATAGACAAGTTGCGAATTTAAGCACTTCGATAAGTTTTCTCATCAAACTTTCTTATAGAACTGATTCGTGCTACGAAAATTCTGGAAAATAACTTCTTACCAAGATATTAACGTTTTTCGATGCATGAATTCGAACCTCTCGCTCTTGACAAAAGTCTACTTGAGTCAAATCGCGCACGTTATCGTAATAAACCCCGCGGTATGGAAATAAGGCAACCTCAATTTCGGTGCTTCGGCCCAGCTTTTGCACGTAGTTAACATTTTGAAGAACACAAGGCGGGGAGGGAACATTACTGGATTAAGATGCCTTCCAAAATCGTTGTAGTGCGCGATTTCATTAAAGTAGACTATTGTTTTTCTTGTGAGCGGGCACTCCAAAATTCCCGTACTCAATGTAAGCTAAAAACGATAATATTTTAGTTAGGAGTTGATTTCAGTAAATTTAACTGCGCTAATCGTGTTGGTGTAAGTGCAGTTGGCGATAACCGTCAAAAGTTGGCAATGAGCCCCTCTGATCCTCAAAAACTAGAGTCCCTTCATAGAGAGAGTTAAGACAACGCAGCTTATGGATGTCACAAACGGGAATAAGTCTAAGCAAATCGGACGTTTTTTGTAATATTTGCTCAGCCCATTCCCGGATTCCTGTCTCCATTCCCTCTCTCATTCAATTTGTTCCTTGCCGTACCCCCAGTTCTCCGATCCATTTCGGTTTATAATCTTTGCAATTGGTGAAAGTGTAATTTTTATTCTCGTTTGTGACACTGTGAAGACCTAAAATACGGGGACCAATCAGAAATGGATTCGCATTGTCTTCACTCTCAGTATAAAGGAACTCTATCAAAAACCAAAACAAAGCGCCGCCATTTATGGGTGCTGAGCCCTCCATGGAACCCAGTATTCATATTCTCCCTACAAAGCTTTCTGTGATAGCGAAGAGAGCAGTAAGTGCATTTCTGTATGAGCCAGTGGCGTGGCGTGAATGATCGATTATCGATATGTCTCCATTTGAAGCTATGGAAAAGAATCGATTATCAAGGTGTTCGCTGCGAACACCCTGTTTATCGACCCTTTTCTATAGGATTGAATGACAGATCAATCGATATATCACAAAGCACGCCACGCCACTGCACCGAAAAAAATAATATGCTGTTTTAGCATCTAGGATGTCAAAAATGTGTCTGGTGATCCCAAGATGCTGCCTTTACTGCCCCCGCAGTTAATTTTACATCCTGTGAATGCAAATTCAACTGCGGGGGCAGTAAAGGCAGCATCTTGGGATCACCAGACACATTTTTGACATCCTAGATGTTAAAACAGCATATTATTTTTTTCGGTGTGGTATGAGCCATGGTTAGCACATGCTTTTATACGTCTCGAAGTTCATCCCAGCGTGCACTCATTGCTCTCTTCGCTATATCACGGCAGAAAGGTACTCTAACTGCGGGGTATTTTAAAGGTGCGAGACACGGCTTTCACGGGGACGAAGCAGGCAGGGCGGGTCGGCGTGGACTTGGCCAAGTCGGGGGTGAACTTGCTCAACAGGGCTGCCACGGGGGCGACCGGGACGCTGAAGACGGTGCTCCAGGAGTCAGCCGGGCGGGTGCTCCAGGCCTTGCCCAAGACCCCCATCCTCACCCCGATCATCGAGATGCCCTATGACATGGCCCACAGCACCCTCGACGCCCTCACCGAGATGGCCAACGACTCCGCTCAGAACACGCACAACATCCTCGACAAGTTCCGCCCGGACGTCCCGGATGATGAAAACCCATGAGACCTATCACTCGCACAGCTTCAGATTCTCTTTCTCCTCTTCCAACGCCCAAATGATAAGTGAATACCAGTGCCGGTTCTTGCAAGTTGGCAACTGTTTTTTCTCCATCTGCATGTTAAACAATCGACTCTAGTTAAGGCAGTCTGTCTCACTTAGAATCGATGTATTCAGTGGAGTTGAATGGAGAATGAACTGTGTTGCCAACTTGTTGTAATCGATATTGGTCAATGTCGACAGTGAACAATCGAATCGTTTTCATTTACTTGACTCAGGGTCGTATGCATAGTCGTTCCTTAAACAGATCCTTTTTTTTAGGAGGCCACATTTGGTGTACATCGTGATTAAGGGAAATTTAAGGAAGCCCTGATTATAAAAAGGACAATTTTCTCCCATCTCGAGTAAAATTTGGCGGTAGGTATAAATTTTGAAATGAATTATTGCAAAGGAGTTCAATGATTTGATTTACAAAGAATACAAAATACGAAACAAAATACACTGCAAGTTTTATACATTTTTAGAAGGTAGGTGTAAATGTTAAAGTTTGTTAAAATCATGTAATTTTTTCTTCCGTATTTTGGACCTTTCGAAGCGAAAAATCATCGTATATCTTGCATGGATCCATTTTCGAAGTTATACCGCTGAATTTCACTTCAAAATGAGCAAAAATTGTCCTTTTCGTAAAACTATTTCGAGGGCTTCCTTAATCCTCCGTTAATCACAATGTTAATCAAATGAGGCCCGGATCGACCTGGAATACGACCCTCTCAAATACACGGTACAGTGACAGTGGCGTGGCGTGCTTTGCGATATATCGATTGCTCTGCCATTTAAAACAATTGAAAAGGGTCGATAAACAGGGCGCTCTCAACGAACACCTTGATAATCGATTCTCTATCACAGCTTCAAATGAGGAAATATCGATAATCGATCATTAACGCCTCGCCACTGTACACTGATTAAAAAAACTTGAGCGTATGAATTGAAGTTTGGCGGTTTCTTATCGCACAAATTATTTGGTTTGTTTAATCGAAATCTCGATTTGCCATACCAAGTGTTCGGTTCATGTGCTCGCACTTTTGGAATAAACCGAACTGAAAAAAATGGGTTTGGTACCTTCTTTCTAACCTTCGATCATAAAAATCAACATTTGGTTGTACGAATCATCAATGCGGGTTGACGGGCTGGATTTGTCCGATCGATATGGAAAACCGAACTTCGATTTATATGATTGACTTTTTTAGTGTAGATTCCTAGTTACCCAAGATTTTCGGCACTAATTCCTTCTCCGCTTTTAAACGAAAGTCAGAGGTAATACCATATGATAAACATAAAAAAAGTATAATTTTTGTAAATGTTTCCAATATTGGACCATTGTTGTAAATTAATTGTCATTTTATTCCACGACGGTTAGCAGCATGGTCATTTTTGTCGGAATCTTGAGTTTACTGCTGTGCTTCCTAGAAATGTAAATATTTATTTACAATAATATATTTGGGAAATAAATCAAAGACACAACAAAAAACTTAAACACGCAGCTGATCATATTCATATACCATATTTCATTGACGCAGACCAACAAACATCAACCTTATCCTCATCCCACGGTAAGATTCCATCAAGATGCACCGCACTGTTATCCGTCGGAAACTATTTATTCATTTATATAATTTCTGGTATTGTTTCGAATGAACCTTATTTTTTATGATTTATCCTGTCCAAATTAAATGAGTGTTTTTATTTTTAAATTTTTACATTTATTTCTCTTTCTCCCCTCTCTCCCCCTTCCCCTGATAAGTTTCTATTTTGACATCCTCATCTTCACAGGGAAAAAAAAATTGTTGCTCCTACAAAACTTAACATGAATTCCAGGTTCCAGGAGTGACAGCTTTTATTTCTCCAAGTCGTATTTATTTAGCTCTGATGATTAAGTCTGAGGACTTCAAATTACAATAGTTCGATAAAAAATATTTTCCCTACATCGATGCATCCGTCGCTCCACATGCCATAACAATTAAATTGGGACGTGCGAAAACCGCCAATGTCCACTTTTCCAGTTTTCAGTTTTTTTGAGTTCATAATATACTTTTCGTAGTTGGATGCAACCACGAATGTGGCATTAATATCCGTCTCCGATTTACCTTCATTCCAAAACGAGTCCTTTCATCACTTTTATGGTTGTATCAACTCTTTAAAAGTATTGTCAACTCAAAAAAAATGAAAGACTGGAAAAATGGACATTAGCGGTTTTTACACGCCCCGATTCAATTGAAGTTCGAATTCGGAGACGTACCGAGCGCTCCCCTCGAAAAAAGTATCATTCGATCCTACTTGTACACGCCTTTGCACGTCAAGACTCTTGCTTCAAGGATTTTACATGCATTCTCCCCGACGGAGCGTTTTTAACGCGCATGAGGCATCACAAGAGGAGCCACTTCTGCCGTGCTAAGGAAAAACGCCGTATAAACCTTCAGGCGTTGCCAAATTTCCTCTCATAAAACGCGAATTTCCTGGTAAATTTATGAATATTTTCTCCCCAATTTTTCAGATAATTTAGCTCACAATCTTACCTAAAGATTCTGAAAATGTAAAGGAGAAGTATTCATAACTCTCCTCAGAAATGAGCATTTTATCGAAGGAAATTTGGCAACTCTCGAATGTTCATACGGCGTTCTTCCCTAGCACGGCAGCGACTGCAGCGAGACTCTTGCTTCTAGGATTTTACATGCAATCTCCCCGACGGAGCATTTTTTAACGCGCATGAGGCATCGCACGAGAGGAGCCAATTCAGGTTCGATTCCCCCCCCCCCCCCTCTCCCCCCGGGTCCGGGTCGGATGTATAGGAACAAACCGATGAAATTGCGGTGCGGATTCAATCACGCTCCATTCAGCACGCACAAATGGAGACGCCGCGCGGCCGTGTGTCGTTGTGTCTCCAGATCCGTGTCGCTATCAGTGTCACCGACAACCCCGGAGGGGGGGAGGGGGAGGAGGGGGAGGACGCGTAATTGAATAACTCGTACCAAAGCTCCAGTCGCCTTTCCTCTCTTTATTCGCGGGGCCCGGGATAGTAACCTATCGCTATCGAACTGCGCCAGGAATATCGTTGACACTCATGAGCGCGGGATAAAGGGATGAAGGGGCGAGGGGCGAGGCGATGAGATGCCGAGGGGATGAGGGATGAAGAATGAGGAGCGCGGGGTGAGGAGTGAGGAGTGAGGGATTCGCGGGCGAGGAGCAGGAAATTGGCACGGAGGGAAAATCTGCGGGACGCCACTTAATTCGTCTAATTTAAATGGACGGATTTGACCGGGAATCACCCTAACTGCATCCCACGTTGTCAAATTTCCTCTCGTCGATGGCCGAAGTGTGTAACCACGTATCTGCGTTTGCAGCGTTGCAGACTTCCTGCCATACTTGGACGTATCCGTGCCAAAAGGAACTAGAGACGTATGATGCCGCCAAAAGCATGGAAAAGTGCAAAAACACATATCTCCATTGCAGTGCTACAAAATTTGTGCTTTTGCCAGGCTTGATGCAAAAACGACTTTTTTCGCCTAAATGTTTAATCTACTTCGTTAGGAGCTCAATGTGTTTTCCACTTTAAGCTCCAAATTTTCGATCCATTTTGGGGAAAACGCTCCTTTGGAAAAACAATTGGGGGAAACGCTCTTTCGGAAAAAAATACCTCCGTGCACCAAAAGTCCATTTTCTGGAGGACGGTCAAATTTTACAGAAAACCTGAAAGCGCTTTCTCCTTTCGCAAAACATTAAAATACAGCTATACGGTGCTTCAAGACATCTCTTTCTCAAAGTGCCCACTCGATTTCGATTTAAATTTCTAACTTTGCAAGCAGCAGACGAACAGGACTCAAATTAAATAAAATTATTATTGTAATCTCTCCAGATCAAATCGCCACTTCGTTATTAATTTTTTGGGAAATCGTATGGATACTTGAAAACGACGAATTTTCTTTCAAATATACATGAAGGATTATTCATTTTCATGTTAAGCAAGACGACCGTGCTTGTTATCATCTGCATACTTTTGCGGTAACATTTTGGACACATACAACGAACATACTTTCAGATTAAAAATTGACAGAAAAGGGCGCCATTTTATATAAAATTACTGCTCTCATTAGCTCTCTTGCGGATTAATGCTCCTTACGGCTGTTTTGTAGAAAACAACGTCAATTTTGGCGCACTTACGGTTTTGTAACATGTCTCGTTTTCATACCAATAAAATACGTTGTGCTTTTTTGTTAATTTTTCGTCCCCTCCTTAGTTATTAACTTCCTACGACTATAGTGGCTTTCGCCTTAAAAAAATTGGAATTTAGCTCTCTAGATTAAATCGCCACTTAGTTATTACTTTTTTTGGGGTACATCACCCCACTCTGCCGACGAATATTCATTCGTCAACTCGGGGATGGCCCTTTGTTCTCACTTATTAACGAGACGATGTTACGGTCGTAAATCACCATTGTCTTGGAAGCGCTTTTTTGCCCGTGCTACGCATATTCGAACGAACCCTCGCCCTATAGCCCTTTCTCCCCCCTCCCACGCCGCGCCGCGCAAATACCTCGCGTCTCGCTCTAATCATCCCCCAACTCGTGGTTTTGTGGTAGTCCCTTTGCACGACCCATACTCACAGTTGGCCATTATCTCTTCGTCCCACTTACGACCATTCCTTGCTTCCATCTTGCGCTGCGAACAAACCCTATGACATCCAAACTTGTCTCATTATTTTGTACAATGACCATGCAGCCATGCTAAGGAAGAACGCCGTAAGAGCTTTTAGACGTTGCCAAATTTCCTGTGATAAAATAAGAATTTTCAAAGAATTATATGAATATTTTTTCTTTGATTTTTCGGAAAATTTTATTCACAATTAGACTTAAAATATCTGCAAACCTCCAGAAAAAATATTTATAGCTCTCCTCAAAATTTAACATTTTACCGGAGGAAATTTGGCAACTCTCGAATGTTCATACGGCGTTTTCCTTAGAATAGCAGCATGAGTCGCGAGACACGTATAAGGGTTGATGCTGAACTGCTTTGCCTTCAGACTCTTCGCACAAATGCAAAAAGACCCCTTTGTGAGGACTTAAATTCCTTGCACTGTAATAATTCAAGTGCGACACAGAATAATGCAAGAATACCATATCTGTATATTCAATAAACGTAAAATGAGCTATCTATGAAAGGGACGTGATTGAAAAGCTTGTAAAGAACAGCAATTTTAATATATCATACGTCTTTTTCTTGCCTTTCCCACTTTTTATGTATACATTCCCAACCGTAGCATATATACGCAGCTAAACGAAGGGGGTGCGGTCTGCGGTACCTTTTAGAAATCGGGGGAAAAAGCGGCCAAGAAAGAGAACTTCTTGTAAGCTGACGACTTCACTACGCACGTTCTCGAGTTTATTTGATTTCTTCCGCCACGTTGAACTTAAATAAATTTCTAGTAAATTTTCCTCATTAACCGTTTTAAAGGGCATTTTCTATTCTTTTTTCGTTTATCAAACAAATATTTGCACGCATATCTACCTTATATCGTTGGCTAAAGTTGAAAAATGCATACCTCTAGATGCAGCATCAAAAAATCTCCGATATTGTTTAATTTTCTAAGAGTAGACCAATCAAAATATTTCCTCAAATTTGTATAAAAATCTTTGTGAATGCGTGGAAAAAATGCACAAAAGTTTTCAAGAGAAGTTCTCCTTTTAAAAACATAGATCATGAGCAGCAATTTGCAACGTTGCAATGGAGAATTTGCACGAAAAAATTGTATTGCTTCATCTTAGAGTGCACAGCGAGCTGAATTCGAGTATTTTTCATATTTTTTTCTGATTAGGGAGATTGTATAAAACAGATTTAAACGTGAGGAAATGTGGTATCTGATAACATTATCTGGCGGTTCTCCCATTTAAACACGTGTATTTTAGAAAATGTTGTTATTTTGTCATACCTTCTCCAATAATTGTTCGATTTACAAACCAAGAATATTCTCTTTTTCAGTGATCTTAAAAGTTTCATTTTTCATTCACCTTTCAGACACCTACAAATTCTCCATTTGAGGCATACATTGTTCAACATGAGTCACATATATTTCCTATTTCCTTCAAACAAATCTAAATTGGAATTTGTTATAATTTGTGTTTCAGGCTCAACGTCAACGACTGTGGTGAAAACAACTACGTCTTGGCGGACTGAACACAAGGCTGCTCGAACTCTAGGCATCATTATGGGTGTCTTCCTCATCTGCTGGCTCCCGTTTTTTCTATGGTAAATATATTTTTCTATCCACTTTTACTCAGCATTGGGCCAGCCAAAAGCTAAATCGGTAATCCACAGGATTGCGCGAAAGGTCTAAAAACATGTATAAGGATTGCACGAATAAAAACCTTAACATCTGCTACAGGAATGCGCGAATTTAAATTGAAGTTTATGTGAGGTAGAAGTTTGGCAAAACAGGAAACAGTTGGAAAATAAACGCATTTTTATGTTAACGCTGGTTTAGCTTTAGTTTGTTGATAAGTCATCGATGTCTTACCCTCTAATGATAAATGAAGTGAAAATATTGAATAATGGTCGTTGATATAAAGAACGTTTCTCAGAAAAAATATGTGTACGGAAGAAACGAGGTGAAAACGAGGTTGGAATGCTCATACGGCGTCGAAACACAACATAGGCTTTTTAAGCTCTATTATTCGATGCCGCGATTCTGCCACGAGTTCGAATAATCGTGCTAAACACAGTGCGGCTGGCGTTGAACGTACATTAGCGCCTGCAAGACTGTAGGAATACTTCATGCATTGCGCTAAAAAGTGCGGTCGGCGTACAGCCCATAGTAGCGCCTACAAGACTGCGTGAATACTTCTCGCATTGCACCAAACGCAGTGCAGACGGTCAATTGGACTACATTTTGCAATTTGGAACTATAAATTATAGCCCGGTTTAAAAACAACGTATGTGCCATTCGTTTCCCTGTGCACGTACGTGTTTTTCCAGAAGAGCCAGAATTTATAGTTCCAAATTGCAAAATGCAATCCAATTGGTGTGAAACGCATATTAGCGTCTACAAGACTGAAGGCATGCTGTAGGAATTTTTTGCACGATCAATTTTATATGAATGTTTCAGTAATTAAAGATATCTATTTCGCAGCTGATGCATCTATGATTCGCATACTGCAAAATAACAGGCTGAAGAAATTCTCACATTCAAAAACTGATATAACCCTCATACTACCTAATTTTGTCGCAAAATAACTGCAAAATATTGCTAATTGAGAATCTGAGATCTGGCTGTTGTAATTTGTCATCTGCAGCGAACATTGACTTTTTCCAGTGCGAGGTCTGGATAATTGATCGCATTGATTCAAAAACTTAATTGAAAAGGCGGAGGCTAGAGGAATTTAATTGCAATGTAGCGTAGCAAAATTAGACACAAAATTTTATGTATTTTCTCCAGAACGGTTGCATATTTCCTTTTGAAATTTCCCTAAAATTCTCTACGTATGCTTTGATGGAAATTTCCTTACCGTGCAAAGTTGAACAAATATCTTTTAATGGAAGAATCGTTAATTGACCGGTGAAATGTTAAGGCTTTGCAGTACAATTAAGCCACACGGCAGCTCTCACCCCTTCAACTGAATAACTTGCGTGCTATTAACGTGAAACTTGATCGTTCCGCAAGTCTCTTCAAGAAAAATACTTTATCTAAGTACATTTCCGTATTTTTTCGCTTTCTCCTACACTATAAAAAATTCGGGAGTAAAATTCTGAGCCGGAGTCTATAAAGCGCTCAAAAACCCCGATTGATAGGCATGCGGAAATAAATCTACTCTCCTGATGGAATGACTTACACCATTACGGAGCGGAATTCACTCTTTTTCGAGAGGGTCATACAATTTTATGGCACTTATCTCATCTTGCATTCAAATTAATCGGGGCTTATGGGCACTACAAATATATAGACTTCGGCACCGAATCTCACTCCTCGATTTTTAACAGTGTAATGGTGACAAATCATTGTGAATTCTTGTAAAAGGATATATTTCTAAGGTCGGACTGTTGAATTTTTCTCAAGTCTCGTTAAAAGTGTCGTTATTATAATGCGATCTTAAATCTTGTCTGATCCAAATGCCTCCCCAAGGACAAATTAGTTAAAGGAACGACGCACATTTTGTCGAGTCAGGGGGAGAGGTCGGACAAAATTTGGAAACTTCAAAAGCTCATAACTCCGTTTATAAAAAAAAAAAAAACTTTGAGGTTCTAAAAGTGGTTCCATTGATTTTTTTGAGAAATTTGCTTCTGGAAGCACCCATTAAAATTTAAAATGTGACAAAATAAACATCAAAATTTGCAGTTGTAGTCAAAAATTTCATGTTCGACCTCTCTGATTGACTCGATCCACTGTGCGACGATGCGTACAACCCTTTTAATATTGGTCAATAACCAACTTCAGTTTCTCACCCCTTCCAAATTTGAACTTTTTAAATCGTTTCAGGTACGTGATCACGACGCTTTGCGGGGAGCCGTGCGACTGTCCATCGGTGGTGGTGACGGTGCTCTTCTGGATCGGGTACTTCAACTCGGCGCTGAACCCGCTCATCTACGCCTACTTCAACCGGGACTTCCGGGAGGCCTTCAAGAACACCCTCCAGTGCGTCTTCCCGTGCTTCCTCCGCTGCTGCCCGCCCGAACCCGACAACTCCAAGTTCATGTAGCAAAGGCGCCGTCCCTCGCCCACGTGTCAAATGGCAATCAGCGACATCAGCACCAAACACCAGGAGCAATCGCTTCACTGAAATTGGTCCCCGAATGTCGTCACATTCCGGCCCAAGTATCACAAGCGCCAGGCGACGTTTAAAAATTTCCGCCGCACTGAAAACAATTCTCGGCGTTTTTACCAAGGTCCGTTGGTACCTTTACCATCTCTCTTTTTTTATTTTACCAATTATTGGTAATTTTACCAAGACAGACTGGTAAGCTTACCTAAAAACCGGTATTTTTACTGTTTTTTCAGGTAAGAATACCATTTTTATTGGTAATCAATTCCCGGTAAGTTTACCATTTTATCTCGGTAATTCTACCACAGTCGATAAAAAATATTGGCATTTTTACCAAGGTTCAGTAAAATTACCGAGAAAGTTCAATAATTGTACCGCGATTTCTCGGTAAAATTACCAATTCCATAAATGGTATAATTTTACCAAGAAAAAACTGGGATTAAATAGAACCCTGAATTCTTGGTAATTTTACCTTTTTCTTAGTATATACACCGAGATTTTTTTTTCAGTGGTCATTTTATTTTTTACAGGAAAATTGTTTAACGAAGCTGTCCTTAAGTGTCACTGAATTTTCATCGTACTGCCGATAAAATTCAGTGAAATTTTCAAACAGATTCAACCAACAATGTCTCTGTAAAATTAAAATGGCGGCAGAAATGTTTGAACGTCGTGTGGCGCTTGTGATACTTCAGCAGAAAAGTAACGATGTCGCATGAGACAGTTTGCGCTATGGTCTTGCGCATGTTTAGTTCTTGTAGATCGGCTGAAAAAATAAGGTCTACCCAAAGTGCAACTTTCCACGTTCAACATTAACCGAGTTATAGCGCTTTGAAAAATTCGGTTAATGACGTCACCCACCGCAGCAGTGACATCCCAGGTTACTTCCAGTTTGCTTTCATCCGAATTTCAAGTTGAGTAACTAGTGCATCACCGACTGAAGTGGGAGAAACCAGGAAATTCTTCAAAGCACGTGTTACTGTTAATATTGAACGTAGAAAAGTTGCTGTTTGGACAGATCGTAATATTTTTAAGAGATCAACAAGAATCAAGCACCAAAACACGATTCTGAGACTAGCGCAATTGACCTGTTTCTGCAATCAGATATCAATGGCTGAAGTTGGAAAATTACGAAAGTGGCGGTGTACCAATTTAGAAACACTTTTTTTCTTCCGTTTAAATCCATTAAAAATATCGATTTTAGGCGAGGAATGCTACCTCATCCAGAATCGATTGTTTTACATACATTTAAACGGAGCAAAACAGTGTTGCCAACTTTCAAGGATCGCCACTGAGTAAGGATCTCCGATTGCGGCACTGTATTCCCGCTCAAGTTTTATCTATTCAAAAGAAAACTGACCGATAGCATTTCTTGTACTTTTCTGTGAATTTAATTTACACGTTCTAGCATATTCACAGAAAATTCCAAGGAGATATTTTGGTTTCCTTTCTCTTGAAAAAATAGGGCGTGGTCGGTGATTTTGAAACATTGCAATGCATGCAGACACACCATTACGACTTTAGACATTGATGTGGGGCCGCGTTTAACAGAAACGCACCAAGTCGCATTTCATAGGGAAATGAGTTGGGAGTGGTTTCAATTTCAACTACTTAGTCGCTTATTTTCTCCTATCGAGAAATGCAAAGTTGAACGCGAAAACAGTCGTTCAACTTTGTCCTTAGCATTGAGTCTTATGCAGAGATAAAACTCAGGATAAACCTCTTTTTCACGGTTCAACTGCAGTGGTGTGGCGTACTTTGCGATTTATCGATTGATCTGCCATTTAAACCTATGGAAAATGATCGATTAACAGGGTGTTCGCGACGAACACCATAATAATCGATTCTTCACCACCGTTTCAATTGGGGAGATATCGATAATCGATCAATCGCACCTCGCCACTGTTCAATATGGTGCATCTTGGTGCGTTTTTTTTGAACTCGGTTCATATGATTCATGTAATGCGAACGTCATCTCTTACGTGTTAAATGGCGCTTAGGGACATCTGGACCAAAAACCAGGAACAACCAATTCACTGAATTTGGTTCCTTTCGTCGAATTTTTGCGATTGAATATGATTCATTCAATTTTTTTTTTTTTTTTTTTAACTTGATGAATTTGACCAGAAGCAAACCACACTTCATATTGCTTAATTTTTCTCTTATTTGTAATTTCCTCAACGAAGAACGAAGTTTCGTGATATGTTTAAACTTCTGTTGACCTTGAGTTGCCTCTTAAAAATTGACTCGTCACAATTTGGGCGTATGGAAGTTCTGCGGACTTCGTTAAAAAAACAAAGAAAGAGACCAATCCAGCCCGACCTCAGTTAAACTAGTGGGCTTCAAATCTCGAGTGCCTTCAACTTGATATGTATGCAACTATTCGTACTCCGGATACAACTATACGTGCTCAGCGGATATCCATGTTGCATACTCCAAAAATTGCAGGCGCTCAGGGTCCCAGTTCCCATTCTGGCAATGTTGCGTCCATCGCTTGGTTTTTTTCCCGATAAAAGGGGAGAGCCAAATGAACGGATTTTATGGACAGATTTTTTAACTTTTTAAATTGACTCGTTGAGGATGAGAACACAAAAAAGTCGCATATAAATGAAAAAAAAATGCGCAACTTTCAAAATTGGAGAATGAAAAAAAGTCAATCATATTTTCTCGCAAAAATTCGCTTTTGGAAGTTCCCAGGGCGCATCTGAGGACCAAAAATGGAACGGCCGATACCTTTACTAGCATTAGATTACCGACGAACCTGTTTATCAAATTTCGTAGTCCTATTTGCGACGCGTGAAAACGGCGATTGTAAGGCACGCCACCTTAAATGGGTATCATCTCCATACGACACCTGTACCCAAACAATTGTATACTGCTGGGAATGACTCAGTTACGCGCCTGTAACGGAATTGCATTTCGATAAGTGAATCGGCACAGTTGGAAGAAACAATAAAATGTGTCCATTTTCCACGGTTTGGAAAACCGTCTGTGAATCTCTCCCGTTCCCAGTGACGAGACGTGAGTGATCGATCATCGATATTTCCTCGTTTGAAGCTGTGGTAAAGAATCGATTATGAAGGCGTTCGTTGCGAACACCTTTGTCTATCGATTTTTTTCCATAGGTTTAAAGGGCAGATTAATCGATTTATCGCAAAGCACGCCACGCCATTGTCTAGTCCCTCTCGTGCGTCCCGATGAATGCGCCTCACTGTCTTTTTAGTAGCTATTATATGAAAGTATATTCTTTTTTTCTTACTCTACTTTTGCAATTCTGATCTAAGAATAATTACCCGAAAAAACCTGAGAAAATAGACGAGGATAAATGTCAAGACGGAGTACCAAATATTCTCACGAATCTAGTCACTCACGCAGTATTGGTTTTAATTGATGGCAAAGCTGGAGATACCGGGAAAAGTGGGGGTTCAGATGATAAGATTTTATTTTTTGAATGGAAGTTAGCGGTTGACGAAAAACAGCATTTATTATATTTCAATAATAATTTATTACGATTCAACTAAGAGATTTCAACTTCAAATTTTTGAAGCAGTTGAAGAAAACCCGTTAGGCTCACACATTTTTGATCCTGTTTTTTGCGGTTATAATTTTTCATTTCATGATAATTCCGTCTTTTAGAAGACCTACATGTTTATTTTCAGGACGATGTATTGACAGAACTTCGGTAAATTTCCTCGTAATTGAAAACATACCCGAAGTTTGAAATTACAGCAGATTACGTAGGGTCGGATTTAAATTGCAATAAACGCAGCTATAATTCCTATTGAAGTATTTTAACGTAATGAGACAAGTGCATTTCAACAAATGGTCCATAAAACTCTTAGACGGTACTTAATGTACTATGATGCCTACCAAAATACCTCACTCTCTGTGCAAACGAGAGAGAAGTTGTATGGACCTTTCTCTATTAGTATATTCCCATTATTCATCTCATGTAAGCGATTGTATAATCATTAGCGGATCCAGCAAATTGGCAACATTGTTTTTCTCCAGAAAACCCATGGAAATGTATCGATTCTTGGAGGGGCCAGGCGCTCCGACAAGAATCGACTATTTAACATAGGTTTAAATGGAGGAAATCCGGTGTTGCCAATTTGCTGGATTCGTCTCTGTTTATAATACATATGTCATCGAGCAGAAGAAGATATCTGCGTAATATTTAGAATTAGAGCGGAAAAAAGCATGCAATGATTCTTTTTATTGATATGTATAAAAACTGGTCATTTTCGATCAGGAACAAACTTAATTGAAGCAGAAATTTGCAATAAATCGGTGTATTTGTCTCCTCATCTTTTCTTTCTTGTTGTAGCTGAGGTCCCTGTGGTAACCATATCTTAATGTATGGGTTTAATAAATCCGGGCCAGAAAACCCTTTACCGCATACCATAGTACTACGAGTAGAGTTACCACTCATCATCACTTAGAAAAACTCAATCGTATTTTGCAGTGTTTTTTCAGGGTTAGATTCTAGTCATACGACGTAAGTTACATGTATGTTATGGCTGTGCAAGTAATGTAGTGATCATTCCCTTCTTTTTGTCTAATTTTGCTCCACTTCTTCTCTCTTGAGGACGATCTCGAAAATTGTATAGAACATGTTTTTGTAAATAGTTTTGAGCCGATCATAATTTCCAGTCTTTTACTTTAGCCGTCGTTTTTATTTGTTCATCGATTGGTTTGTATTTATTTTTTTGCATACTGTTCATAGTGTAACTTCTGTAAAATAAAGCATTTAAAACTAAAAGAAATATTTTGAGTACGGTGTTTTAGTTAGAATGTCCTGTTTTTGAAAAACTTTTGGGACCCGTTTCACAAGTTCACCTTTTAGAGCATTAGCGGGTCCAGCAAATTGGCAACATTGTTTCTTTTCCATTTAAACCTATGGAAATGTATCGATTCTTAGAGGGACCAGGTACGCCGACTAGATTCGATTAGGTATTTCACATAGGTTTAAATTGAGGAAATCCGGTGTTGCCAAATTGCTAGATCCGCCTATGATTCAGACATGGGTAATTTACTTCGAGTTAAATTTGGAAATTTAAAAAAAGAATAGTACGTTCGATTACGGTCTGCAGGCTAGAAATTGATGGATAAAGCTAT